AATTCTAAAACTAGCTGGAACTAAATTTTCAAACGCAAAACAAAGTATTCCTGCATATCATCAGCCGCCTCTTACATGGAAAGAAAGACAGTCTAAAAATCCTGAAGAAAAAATCCTATCGATTTCGTAACATGGAAGAGGATATACTTCTGCGCTGGAGTGAGTAATCTGAAGAACTCCCTAACCCCGAAAAACTACGAAGTCTCTCCTGAAAAGCAACAAATAATGGAAATTAGTCGTTCAGTAGATAAAATAATAAAAACTGTAAAACGCTTGAAAAGGGCAAGGGTGGTACAATCGATTAAATTTGCCCTGAAATAACTTTGGCTTTGCATGAACAAGGCATATTGTGGCTAACAAGTACCTGTGAAACTCCAATGGCTACCGGAAAGACACAAGTAGACTAGAGAATGGAGACTGCAGCATAGCTGGTCAAGAACGGAGACCATAGGCACTGCTCCAGTTATCAGGGGCATTACCATACTGAGCCTTCTGGAAAAAGTCTAAGCAAAGTGTTGGAAAGGTGCAGAGGAATAGTGGGCTCTAGAACCTAAGAATTGGCTTAATGGCAGGCCGAAGTACTTAGATCTCGGCCCTATGCCAGAGTGTTGAGAAATAATCGAAATACGGCCAACGGATGTACATGTGCTTTGTTGAACTAGAGAAAACCTACGACCGAATCCCACGCAATAACCTCTGGCCACGCCTGCGAAGATATGAGATCGAAGGGAAACTGCTACAAGTCATCCAATTACTATATGTTGATAGAGGGGGTGCGTCAGAATAAATGGCGTTAAGTTGAAATCTTTCAACGTTGGCACCAATCTCGGCTAAGGCGGCGATCTGTCCTCTCTCCTGGTTGTGTCGTACATAGAGAGAATAGTCAGGCTCAAAGAGGACAAGTGTATCAACGTAGGTGATGCAGAAAGCGGAAATTTGCCGTTTGCAGTGTACTTTGTTTTGTTGGCATCTTCTCAAACTGATCTACTGCACTCTCTCGAAAGGTATGCAGCCGAGTGCGACGTGGTCGGTATGCGTGTGAACGCATCTAAAATGAAAGCCAAGTGCTTTCTCTTTCTCCTACCCGCTGTCCTTTTCAGAGAAACGGAGGCAGTGGAGCAAGTGGAGAAATTCAAGTATCTCGGGGTAGTGTTTAATGGCGATGGAAAATGGGAGGAACAGATCAACCGGTGAACTGAAATGGCCAACGGCGCTCCGCTTGAACTAACCCGTACCACTGTAACGAAAGCAGAGCTGAGTGTGAAGATTACGTGGCCTGTGTTCAAATC